TGCACAGTCGATATGGGTTTTCACCATGAATGCACAGATGTACAGACTTTGTTGAGACCGACTATTTTTCGACAGTGATGTAGGATGACGCCGTTTTCTAAGTATTTGGACGGGCACAGAGGGGCCAAAAATTCTACTTTGGTGGGCAATGCCCCCCGTGCCCGCCCTTGGCTTTGTGCCTGCCCCAGTATCATACAGCCAACGAAATGGGTAGGGAAACTTTTAATATAATTTTTGCCTCTAGAGAATTGCAACACAGCTTTGTTTATAATCACAAAGAAAACCCAGGGCCATCGAGAGGGGGACAAGGGAGGAAAATTGCCCCTGGGCCTTGAGGTTTAGAGAGCCTCATAAAGTAATGAAGTCTATTTTAAAATTAAATTTATCAAATGTAGCAAAAAATGCACAAAAATAGTAAAATTTTCCAAACGATTGCAAGAAATGATGCAAGAAATATCCTGAGTTGCATTTTAAGCAAATCTGAACATTGTGCTCGCTCCTTTTCCAGATTTGTCCCGGGTCCTCCGAAACCTATTGGCGGCCCTGGGAAAACCAAAGTTAAATCAGGAATACTTATAGAAAAGATCTTTCAAAGGAACCACACCATTTCTTGAAAAAAACTTACCCATTCATTGTTTTCGAAATTAATTTTTTGCCGCACCTATTGTTAGGCAGTGACTTTGTTAGTGTAGAAAAGGAGGATTCTAGCAAAAGTTTCGCTGTCAACCTTCAAGCTTACAAGTTAAAACTAGACCGTGGGTTGGAAAATTTTCGACAAAACGGGCTCCAGAAAGGTCCATCGAACTACCCGCGCTTTTCGTCAGAAAATTGCTGTGTCATCCTCGAATCATCAAAAATGCCCCAGGTCTTGGTTCCATGATTTAGCCAATGTCAATCAACCACAGTGAACAATCATCGCAATTCCACTCCCATTTACCTGGCATTTGACATCCAAAGTAAAGGAGCAATAACGAGACTAGCCTAGATAGGTTTTGGAGGCTGCAACATGTTTGCACCGAATTATGTCCTACATATCTAGCAAGTATTAATTAGGACATATGTATTTAGCCATTTTTTTTCCGAACGTGTGAGCAGCGTTGGTAGCGCTCGGGGTCAAATAGGGAACGGGGTCAAATAGGGAAATCGGGGTCATATAGGGAAATCGTTAATAACTCCAAAAATTGGACAGATATCTCAAAACAAACCTCAGAATCGGATTCGGCATGCCTTAATCTACCTTTTAGATGCTTATTTAATTAAACTACATCAATTTTAAGAGCATAAATGATAATGTTTTTCTTCTACGTTAGCTTGATGCGTGTCTCCTCCGTAGCGACGGGAGCAAATAGGCAAAACACGTTGAAAAGCATCGATTTAACCAAAAATAAATAGCAAAAGGTAGAAATAACAATATAAAATACACATTCTATTCATATTCATCCAAATTTCACACATCCTGCAACGAGGGTTACAAGATTTCTCTAAATAAATCAGCTGAGTGATCGACGCGCTCGGGGTCAAATAGGGAAATCGACATTTGGGGTCAAATAGGGAAATGACTAAAAACTGCAAGAAACAAGCACGAAAAAGAAAACTAACCTCATTCCAAGGCAATGAGTAATTAAATCTGCTCTTTCTGTCCGTTTGTCTGCTAGAAATCAAGCTATATCGATAGATAGATACAATTCAGACAACGTTCGACACGCACTTAGGCCCTTGTTTACAGATTGATCTCCTCCACAGTTTCGGGGTCAAATAGGGAAACAGCTGCCTACAGCAATAGACAAAGGTCTGTTTCTATGTAAAATAAGGAAAAATTCGGTTTAAACTTTTCAGAATCCCTTTCTTGTTTATTTGCTTCCGATGTCATTATTACAGCAAAAGCTTTAGTATTTTTCAAATGTTTGCTTTTCCAAAGCCATAAAGCAAAGAAAGTCATAAATACAGTCCAGCAAGCGAATCAAACAGTTTCAAGCTATATCTTGCTTCTAGCCCGATTGCATCGAAACGAGATCTTATAGTCGATTCTTCTGCAGTTTCTAAGAAATCTCCATCCTTCCTGTCCGAGTCAATTGAAATTGACAGACAATCTTCTGCAAGTGCTTGTCATGAAGATGCTCACATTACATCAAGTCCCTCCATAAATAGAAACAGCCCATTTTCAAAGGCCACTGATAGGTCATCAAGGTCAGTAACTTCACGATCAAACTCTCTTTCTTCTTGGGATGATACGAACGAGTTTGCAATGGGGCAATTTTCGCCTTTACGGTCATCAAGCCCACTGTCTGTCACCAGCAATTCAGCTAGAAACGCAAGCAATTTGAGCACGAAAATGCCAGATGAAAGCGATGTTGGAAACCTAGGTGGAGGTGCGGTTGACGATTTGCCTAGTCATGCTATCAGGGACAGAAAAGACATTCATGTGAAAAACTCCGAAGTACCTATTGATGAAAATACAATTAACTGTGCTATAAAGGTACTTAGGTCCTCTTGTAACACTCTTGCTGGATTGGTTACGGTCGATGAAGCTAAGCATTTTGTTGGAGATGGTAGGCCATTTGTGCAAATAATCCAGGTTGAATATCGATCTATATGGCACTGGGTAACAATATCAAACGTATTTTCACCTAAAGGGCATGTAGCCATTTATGATTCTTTGCAGAGAGTGCATATTCGGGGTAGTGAAATAAGGTATGACGTGTCTTTGTTGGACTATGCCTGCCGATTCCGTGGGTACAAGATGAACGAATTGACAATTGATGTTATGGACGTTACGTCTGCTTTGAAAAATTGTTACAGTGGCATAGCTGCAATTTTTTTTGCTGTTTGCCTGTTGAGAAAAAGAGACCCCCAAACTGTTTATTTTAGGTATAGAAGTCTTCGCTATAAAATTTCTTTGTCTCTGTCTAAAGCCTCTTTTGATGGAATCACGTTTGAGGAGTCACCGCGAGTTCCGGAGGGTGTAAAGTATAATATCAAAGCAGACGTTCACTGCCACTGTCTCATGCCTGATATAGGAAACAGTATGACGGAATGTAGTGACTGTAAAGGATGGTTCCACAATAGCTGTGAGACTGGAAATTTTGATCATAACGACTGGAAGTGTTCTAATTGTAGATTATCAGGCATACGAACTAACCATCCGCAGACCGAATCGGTAAGCATTCCAACCAAAATATTAGACGGTCGTAAACGTAAGAAGGTTAAATTTCCCAACGTGTCCACAAAACGGACAACTCGTAAAAAGCGCAGCGAAGGGAGATTTCCACTATTTAAAAAGTATTTGAAAGAGCATGTCAATCAACATGTCCCAAGCGATTCTTCGTTCAGCGATAGTTCAAATTAATCTGATAAAAGTGAGATGTATATTGTTAACTGTTAAAATAGAATCGTTTTGTCTGTTTCGATGTAAATGCGTTATTTTTGTTATTTTAGTAATATAGTAATCTTCGCATATATTTGATTATTTTGCAAAAGTAGGGTAACTCTTGCGTATTATAGCCTCCGTCATTTCAGAACGAAATTTGCCGAGTCGAGTGAGTTTTTGGAAGGGAAAATTAACACACACCCTCTCCTCAGAAATTTTTTCAGTGCTGGTTAAGATCTAGAGAAAGTGATAAATATGTGTATTGTCATTACATTTTTTGATGTTGCTCTTTTAACATCAGGAAATTTTGCAATGAAATTGAAACTGATGTATCTACGATAGATTTTTTGAAGAATGTTAACGTGTTATATAAATTTGTACAGGTATTACGGCTTATTATATAACTATATACCATCGTAGTTCTTGTTAGGGGAGATGAACAAGCATTTGTCTGAAGTCTGCTTTATTTAAACGATTTACATCATATGCATATGCCTAGCTACAATAGATGTCGTAATTTTCATATCGCATTATTTATAACGTGGTATGGCATTTGCAGTACTTATGGGTAAAACCCAGCCACGTATCAAAAGAAGAAAAAAAATTTTGTGAAAAGGATGTTTTGAGAAGTGTTAGAATAAAAAATTCTGGTTTACATATGCATCTGATGCAATATCTCATAGTTTGAAACAAGTGGACATAATAATATCCCTAAACTGGAATAAATTTAGACTCGTCTCCCCAACAAATTCAAATTTTTTGTATCGATCAATTTTCGCAGTATAAGTAGCACTTGTTGTTTTTTTGGGGGGGGGGGGGGTAATCACGTGTCTTTTCTTGTTACGAATCTGCTACTGCTTTTGCTACATTTCACGACTATTTGAAAACAACACTTCTCCTCACAGTACTTATATGCGATATTCAGTCTTTCTCTGTATCACTGTGTCACAGTGTGAGATGTATTTGCATATAATTCAGATGACAGAATATTAATAAGTTCCAAAAGCAGAAGTAATACAAATCAACTTCAAACACAAGCAGCACTTATATTTACGTAACCTTTTTCAGTTACTTGTTTTGATCATAGTCTATAGAATTGGGACTACGATTTAAAAGAGCTGCTAATCTTTATAATCGTGCTGTATTCTCACACTTTAAAGATGTCAATACATAGCTTCGTCTATTTTATATTGTATGCAATTTGTATGTGTTTATAAATTTAAAAACTTAGATTTTCTTTTATTTGACAAGTATTTTTTTCTGTTGTGCCTACTGCTTCGTACTAAAATAAAGCAATGTGAAAAACTAGCTTAAACGAATTTAGCAATAATTCATAGTGGCCTAATGAAGCTACTCAAAAGACTGTTTAGTTTAATAAGATTCTAAAAAGCATCTTAGACGTTTGCTATTCAAGAAAGCCAATCAAAGTCTGCAAATTACCATTTTAGAAGCCTTCCTTTAAAATGGCATTGCATACGCAAAAGCCCTCAAATTTCTTATGAATTGATTCCCAGTACCTCCATTAAAGGTACCATGTTTTCTCTCTATATTAAAACGTGCTTAAAAGGCGGGATGTATGTATGTATGTATGTAGTCATCATCATCAGGTACCATCTTCTATCAGAAGGTTGGCTACCATGACCCTCCAACTATCCCAAAATCTGAGTTTTGGTTTGTTGTCATGGTCATAGATAAAACTAAGGTGCTAATAGAAGAGATGGGCCCCCAGAACCACCTCTACAATAGAAGGAGTGGATGTTGGTAAATCTTTTAATTAAAAAGCAATGAAATTAATAGAATGGTGACACTGGTTACTTGATGATGGATAGATTGTAAGATATGAAGATGGACAAACATAACAAGAGGAATTATGACAATTAAAAAAATAACAACAAGAGGAGTCATTGACAAGTGAAAATTGCGTGTTATGCTCATGACAGATTTGTAAAATTTAATAGAAAGGGGTGTTAATAAGCGACAGGGGGGGGGGCAAATTTTTCTGAAATTTATACAACGGGGACCCGTCTATTAGAGACAATAGAGCAACTAAATGAAGAAAATATTTCCCCAATAATCGTACAAATCTTGGCTACTTTTTATGTACATTTGGTAACTTGAGGTGAAGAAAAACCAAAAAAATTTTATCTAAGGCACTCCGAGTTTAATTTTTTGTAGAAATGAAACTGATGAAAAATAAGCAATACAATTATTTCTTTAGAGGGGTTGGATTGAACCTCTCAACGCAAAATAAACACACCAACGTCCAAGATTGTCTCAATCATTGAATTGTTTGAAATTATCCGCAACCGTAGAATGTTTCACCAATATTTAGCCTCCCCCTAAATTTATTTCAAAATTTGGTTTGAAAATAATAACAAGACGTTGTGGCAAAAATGTCAGAAGACAGGGCTCCTGACAATTATTGGCTGTAGGCAGCTGTTTCCCTATTTGACCCACTGATCTAAAAAAAACTGGATCGCGCATCTATTGTTCTAAAAGTGCGGCCGCTGAGAAATCGCAGCGGCCATGCTCTTGTGACCACTTTTGCAGACTTGTGGTCTTGTTTACTACGAGGAAATGCCGGTTCGGACAAGTAAAGTCGAAGTTTCTGTCGTCAAATAGTGGCAAAGGTGGGTAAATCTAAATATATATGAGCGTAAAGGACCATCAAATTATTAAATGTTCCATTTTATGGAGGGTAAGGCATTTTGGTTCTCTATTTCTTGTTGCTTTACGGATTGCCTACGCTTTTAGGCTTATTATTAGTAGGTGGATTGAAACTCGAAAACAGAAATCAAACTAAGGTAAATCTAAATAAACATTTGTCTTTCGTTGTTGGCACTCAAAAACAGTTATTAAACTGTTCGCTAAACTCAAGTCTCCACGGAGAGTCCAACGATGCAAAAATATTTATTCGAATCAGCAGGCAAGTGACTATATGACTAGCAACCTTTTACTTATTTGATCAAATTAGAGCCGTAAATTGCCATGAAAAAGCCACGTAGCAGCGATAATTACATAGAATATAAGTAGCTTTTATATGTTAAAGTTAATTTTAGTTGTTTCTCTGATAGGATATAACCCCCAAAAACATCTTGGGAGCTTCTAAGCAACCCAAGTGTAGTACTGAGTTTCTTGTAGATAGAAAATATGTTTAATTTGTGTAGCTGCTCTTTCCAAACAAGTCTAGCCGTGATTTCAAACCTCTAACTTTTTGTGCCCCTCTACATTGTTTAAGCAATACATTTTACATTGAAATGATGTGATATGAAACATGCTTACATTCAAGTGAATCACCGCTTGTACTATGTTTGTGACTTGTGTGACTTAGGACTAATTGAAGAGTGGTATCATATTCCTCTGAAAAAATAAGCCTTGAAGAATATGCCTGGTTGTACTTTTGAATCAAAATTTTAATATTACCTCTGACAAAGCATTTCTTTATTTTGCAGAATAAAGTGCAATGGAATGGCTTGACAGCTATTGTGGGATACAATCATATATAGTTTACTGAGCTAGAACTTCATAAGTAACAGATATTACAATGAATAGTAATTAAAAGATTGTGACTTTGTTTCAAATTAATTTTAAGATTGTGATTTAAAAATTTGAGTTTTTTGAATTTGTTATGTATACGGCTCTTTGAGAGATATTGAGAGATAAATCCTTCATATTTGAGAGATAAATCCTTCTGCCCTGAGACAAAAGCTATGAGTGACAACACTTTTATGAACTGAAGACTAATACGGTTCATAAAAAAGGCCTACTACAGCAAAACATTTGATTACATTGGTAATTTTGTTCCAGAAATAATCATAGATAACTGCATAAAGCTCACAAAATAAATTTATTTTACTGCTAAATGTTCTAAACATATACACAATTTTTGTAGCAAACATTTGAATTTGTAAAATATGTTTGAAGAACCTCCTGAAACAATCAAAATTACTGTTTCCACTCCAAAATATAATGTTATGAATATTACAGTTTGTTTTGCTTTAGTAAGATTCAGCTGCTAGCAACAACTTCTATTGCTCAGTAACACCATAACATCTCAGTGATTGGTTCCTTTCCAAAACTTGAAAATGGCAAACTTTTATGGTTTTATAAACAGAGGTTTATTTCATTTCAAAACAAGTGGTGAAGGCACATGTCTTTGTCAATCCACCAAGTCAAAGATGCACACAAGTTGCTCTACCTAGAAAATAAAATATAAAAGTATTTTTCGTGTATCTATTAGCCTGCGCCTTTATAGATCTGATACATTCTTCTATGAGGCAGTCCCACATTTCAATTTTTCATGGGGAAACACAAAGATTAGGCCTAGTGCCATGTAAAAAGTTATTACTTAATTCATAAACATGAACTATAGCAATCTATTTGGGTATCTAAAACCAGGCAAAAATTTCCAAATAGCTACCTACTTCAAAGTAACTAACTGCAGCAATCTATTTGGGAAACTAAGGCCCCGTTTACACTGCCACAGATGACTTGTTGATCCGTATCAAAAGTGATACGGATTGGCCTCCCGTTTACACCACTCCAAGCTATCCGTAGCAAAACTGATACGGCTAACCGTATCACTTTTGATCCTTTTAGCAAAAGGATTTGAAATGGTCCAGACTCGTGAAAACCCAGTTTAAAGGGGGCATAACTGTACCTACGAAATACAACGATCTTGGCCTACTAAAATAAAAATAGTAGTGTACTCACGGTGAAAAAGTGAAGCGTAGCTTCCTTTTTATTTGCAATCCTTGATTCTCATGGTCCTTGTTGTCATTTATTCCCTTTTCATCGTCAGTTCCCTATTTCGCATTTCTTACAGCCAAAATAAATGCAGCGAATACCTTATTCTCCAGCGTCCTAGCCATTCATTTTCCCGCTGAAGTGGTCACAAGCGCATGGCGCCGATTGAAATTCGCCGGCCGCACTTTCTAAGGTTTGAGAACAATAGGATGCGCGATCCAGTTTTTTTTAGATCAGTGATTTGACCCCGAAACTGTGGAGGAGATCAATCTGTAAACAAGGGCCTAAGTGCGTGTCGAACGTTGTCTGAATTGTATCTATCTATCGATATAGCTTGATTTCTAGCAGACAAACGGACAGAAAGAGCAGATTTAATTACTCATTGCCTTGGAATGAGGTTAGTTTTCTTTTTCGTGCTTGTTTCTTGCAGTTTTTAGTCATTTCCCTATTTGACCCCAAATGTCGATTTCCCTATTTGACCCCGAGCGCGTCGATCACTCAGCTGATTTATTTAGAGAAATCTTGTAACCCTCGTTGCAGGATGTGTGAAATTTGGATGAATATGAATAGAATGTGTATTTTATATTGTTATTTCTACCTTTTGCTATTTATTTTTGGTTAAATCGATGCTTTTCAACGTGTTTTGCCTATTTGCTCCCGTCGCTACGGAGGAGACACGCATCAAGCTAACGTAGAAGAAAAACATTATCATTTATGCTCTTAAAATTGATGTAGTTTAATTAAATAAGCATCTAAAAGGTAGATTAAGGCATGCCGAATCCGATTCTGAGGTTTTTTTTGAGATATCTGTCCAATTTTTGGAGTTATTAACGATTTCCCTATATGACCCCGATTTCCCTATTTGACCCCGTTCCCTATTTGACCCCGAGCGCTACCAACATGATTGGAACGTGTAGTAGTGTTGTCGAATGTTGAGTAGCCTCCTTTTTAGATAAATATTTTCGACTAAAAAGCGGAACTTACATTAGAGAGAGCTTGGTCAATCGAAAGCAAAGCTGTAAAGGGGCAATATGGCGACAGAGCACAAAGGGGTCATCAATGATGCCAGCAAGTCTGGCGAATTTATCAGAAAAGATTCTGTTTTCAGAAATTTTATTACTGCCGATGGGTCATCTGGTTTAAAAGCAGAACCTGGGAGATACCACCTCTACGTATCATATGCCTGTCCCTGGGCTCACCGCACCCTGATATATCGCAAACTGAAGGGCCTTGATGATGTGATTTCTGTGAACGTTGTAGACTATTTCATGGATTCGCGAACTGGCTGGAGATTTTCACCAGGCAGAACTGACTGCACGCCGGATACAGTTAATGGGTGTAATTATTTGAGAGAAGTTTACCAAACCTCTGACAAGGCCTACGACGGTCGAATCACAGTTCCAGTGTTGTTTGATAAACAAACAAAGAAAATTGTAAACAACGAGTCCAGTGAAATAATTCGCATGTTAAACAGCGAGTTCAACCAGTTTTGTAACAGCAAAGAACAGGTACAGCTGGACTTGTATCCTGCTCAATTGCGTAACGAGATTGATGATCTAAACAGCTGGATTTACCCGTGTGTATTATCTTCTACTCACGCTTTCTTATTGATATAATTTTACTGTTTCTTACCATATACTATATCGGCCCATATTTTTATGTGCTCATCCTAAATAGCAGGATTTTCAGTTTTCTCGCCCAGGATGAAAGTCTTCATCAATCTCCGTTCGAGGAGAATTAATTTGATATAAGTAATATTCTTTAAGATACCGTAAATCCTCGAATTGCCCCCCTCCTTCGAAAAAGCCCCCCCCCCTCGAATAAGCCCCCACCTTAGAACTAAAAATTTTCAATAAGCCCCCCACCTCGAATAAGCCCCTGCTGCTACCGTAAATTCTCAAATTGGACCCCTCAATTTTATGATTTTCGCCATCTGAGGTTGCCTATCGCTTTTTATTGAATGCCTATCAATTTTTATTGGGCTAATTCGATGATTTACGGTATATCAAATGAACATGATCAATATTATATGGATTGTAGAAATGAAAGTTACAATGATGCAAAAATATGGCCAGTATAAGGATTGCAAGGTGTTATATGACCATTTTAAAGATTTGGGAAGGGGGTTCCCTTGGGAAAATTTCTGTTAAAAAGAGACGTTTTTACCAACTAGGAGTGCTTTGTCAGCAAATTTTCAAACTTCTTGGTCAATAAAATATGGTTTGCATAATTTTCCAACAAATTGGACATAGAAACCCCAGTGTAGAATAATATCTATTGATGGCTCCAGAGGTTGGTAATTGTTATGTAATACAGCATAAAGTCTTTTCAGCAATTTTTCTTGATTTTATCAATCAGCATGATCAATAATGGGGTTTACAGAGCTGGATTTGCTAGAACTCAGGAAGCATATGATACTGCTGTGAAGGAGGTCTTTGAAGGCCTGGATAAGGTAATTAATTTTCAATTTGCAGCTTTCTGAAGATTTTTAAATATTTTCACATTGTGTAATTTTTGCCCGACTTTGGCTCTTTGGTTACTTTTCACAGAAAGTTTCTTGCATTGCATCAACTTTTGTCATGTCCCCATTTGTTTTGTCACATCAGGCATGTTAGGAAATAATACCTTCCTTACTATTTTTTGTCATAAATGGAAAAATGTTTTATTGTCTTATATATACTTGTTCTTTTAAGGTTGAGTCAATTTTGAGTACAAAGCGCTTCTTAACTGGTAATCAAGTGACTGAAGCTGATGTTCGTTTATTCACAACCTTAATACGATTTGATCATGTCTATCATGGACACTTCAAGGTGAAGTTTTTATATCATTAGATAAAGAATGCTGATTATATTTCCCATTCTGTAATGCTTTTCTAACCAGATAATTTACACCCAAATTAGTTTTGAATCTCAAGTTAGTCATATTCTCAAGTTTGTTTTTCACACTCAAATTACCCAAGTTTTTGAATCTCTGCTTTTTCCAAGGCAGATAAACTTAAGAAACCTTTGTGGCATAAATGGACTTTATCCATATTGATGGAATGAACAATATTCTTTCAAAATTGTTCTGCTACTGTGGCCATAACATAACCAGGCTTTGTCATGGTGCTGATATTAAAGTTAAAAACAAAGCTGCATTCCCCAACTGATGAGACATATACATAGATTTAGAGGACATATGGGCTGGGAGGGCTGCAGACCACCTCATTAGGCAAAATTTTATTTGCATTTCAATCTCAATTTGGGAAGTTCTATCTCAATTAAACAATACTTTTCTTGGCAAGATCCACACTAAGCCCCCTATATGTTTAGCATTCTCTGTGCCCAAGGCCATTAAGCTTGTTTTTGAGGATTTTTGTAACACAGGATTCTTGTCCTTGGTTTTTTCAATACATCAGCAGCTGTTATTTGCACAGTAATTTTAAATCTCTTGTCTTTAGTGTAACAAAAAACGGATTATAGATTATCCCAACCTCTTTGGCTATACCAAGGATCTTTATCAGCACAAAGGCATTGGAGATACAGTTAACATGTTCCATATCCGTCGCCACTATATGGTAAGCATACCACATTTACACAACTTGTCCTTTTTCACAATTCATGCTACATATTTTTAGACTCTTGTTGATTGTTTGTATTCATGTTTCAATGCAAGGCTCTCTGTTTTAAAAAGTGTAAGACAAAAGATGCTCTAACTCGGATCAGTGGTCATTGCTGGTTCCAACACAGTTTTATGTCTGTGTTCCAACTCATGTTCTCAGATGAGCTAGTTCAGGAACATCATAAGCCAACTGACCATTTCTGCTAGATGTGAGACTGACAAGAAACACAGCTATGATATTGAAGAACTTGGAGAATACTGAGAATAGGTAGCTATCAGGCCTAGGAAGGCCACAAAAAAGTTAGCCATGAAGTTTGCCTTCAAACCTGTGTTGGCCTGTAAACCTGTCTTGGCACTATGTTCTGCTGACTTAGCTCCGTATCACACCTTAGGCAAGGCAGGCTATTGGTACAAAGTAATAAAAAACAATTTTTTTTACCCTCAATTACTTTTTATTGTCATTCTATTTTTCTAGGAGAGTCATGAATCTGTGAACCCGTTTAGAATTGTTTCTATTGGGCCTGATATTAACTTTAGCACCCCTCACGGAAGAGAGGCTGTTGGCAAGTAACTCCATCTTGATGGAATCATATGCATCATTGACTATCAGCCGTTTGACATTCTTCAAAATATTCAATGATGACATTTATTTAATTTATTGCCTTACCTGCACGCATCATTTTCCACGCACAATATAGATCAGCTTCATTCTGAGCCAAAGTAGTAGCATTGAAATGCCTAGACCCTTTATAGATTACCTTTTCTAGAACCCTGGTGTTCTGTTGCTGGCTCCCATGCCTTTTAATAATGTTAAAAGTAAATGGCTTTGAAAAAAGCAAACATTTAGTAAACTAAAGCTTTTCGTCTGACACTCTCCAGAGTTTAAAACGTTAGAACATAGATCGAAAACTCTACGCTAAGAAATATATATACCCAGTTGTGGATCGAAATAGGCCAATCAAAAACACGAGCACATGACTGTATAGGTTGACACTTGAAATTGGAAGAAAATGAAGAAAATAATTTTGAATTATTTGTACACATTTGAAAAGGAAGAAAATATCTCCTTGCCATTTCTAGATGTTTTGGTTGAAAAATCTGACACTGGATTTCTCACTAGTGTATATCGTAAACCCACATGCTCGATGGAGTGCGTTTTGCCCAAAACAAAGGAAAATCAGCCTCATCAAAACGCTTAGACATAGGGCACTGATGATTTGTTCCAAGTCTAAACTCGACTCGGAACTTGAAAAACAACTAAGATTTTTCTGGAGAACGGCTATCCAGAAGATGTTATTTTAAGTTTACATTAAGGAGAAGATAGGAAATTTCTCGGCTGACGTAAAATTTGGTCCTCAAAAGTGCCCGGTCTATCTAAAACTACCCTGGATCGGTAACAGCTCTCTACGTTTTGAAAGCCAAATAAAACAGGCCAT